GGCTGAGATAAGAACAGTTTAATAATTGAAATAAAATAAAATAGTAATAATAATAATAAAAGAATATACAAAGCAAGTGATGCACAATGCAATTGCTCACCACCCGCCAACCGATGCCCAGCCAGTCCCCGAGAAGCAGCCCGCCCCAGCCAGCTTTCCCCAGTTTATGTACTGAGCATGACGTCACGTGGTATGGAATGTCCCTTTGGCCAGTTTGGGTCAGCTGTCCTGGCTGTGCCCCCTCCCAGCTTCTTGTGCACCTCCAGCCTTCTCAGTCGGTAGAGCATGGGAAGCTGAAAAGTCCTTAACTAGTATAAGCACTACTTAGCAATAGCTAAAACATCAGTATGTTATCAACATTATTCTCGTACTAAATCTGAAACACAGCACTGTACCAGCTACTAGGAAGAAAATTAACTCTATCCCAGCCAAAACCAGGACAGGAAGAAACACAAGAAGCACTTCTAGATGTAAGCTTGGATGTAACAAGATCTTTCTACTGTCTGGCTTTAAAGATGCGTATTATATATCTAAGTGTGGATATACCTTCAGTGTTCTTGGCCAACACAGAGAGCTTGCTGAGAGCTAGGTGGCTGACTAGACATTGAGCACAGCCTTTTTTCTCCCAGCAGCATTGTACCTTATCTGCCATCCTGCCTTATTACATCCTAACTTATTACTATGTTAGAAATCAATGAAATAATCATGGGCACAAATATTTATTGTCATACAAATTGCAAACAGCTAAGCATCTCAAAATGTGAAGGTTAATGATAGAACTGAAATTCTTTTCGTGTTTCATTTTAGTAAATTGACGCAGAAGGAGAGACACATGGTTTTCTCTCTTAATATTCTACTTTTCTATGTTGAGATCAATTATTTAGGCTAAAGGAAGAATTCATCTACTAAGAATATTTGCTTTTTAAAATCATTATAAGGTCTCAGGTGTTTAAAAAAATAGTTTCCAATGTTTGTTTATTTAATGGGCACATTTTACTTACATATGTCAGACAGAAAATCACAGAAAAGCATATTGAAACTGCAGGTTGCACCACTTAAAAATCAGGAAAGTATGTCCTTAACTCTGCCTCCCTGCACCTGTGATTTACAATCTCTAGATTTACAGGTCATGTGTTTTTTTCTTTGAAGCGCCTTCTTTCAGCCGAAGAGTGCAAAAAACAGCAAATAGAAGGCAGCCTAATTTTTTATCTAGCTTGGCAGCAGTATGCTTCTTTCAGAATCTTTGTCAAATGGCAAATATATAGAAGAAAAGGAATAAAAACTTCTAGGAAAAAAAAAGAAAAAAACGATAATTTGCTAACCTCCATTTAACAAAGCTTGAACTCTGCCCTCATGATTTTCATAAAAGGGCTTTATCAGTTTATCTCCCTGTCACACACAAATACACACATTTATTATTCTGATGGCTTGAGGAGTGACATATAATCATGGATGGATGTGACCTGTGCAGTATCGCTGTTTCCTTTTTTGGTATTTCAGGACATCATTTACAAAGTGAAAACTGCTTTTAATAAGGAATTTGACATAGTTGCGCGACAAAAGGAGCAGGAGATAGCACGAGTGAAAGAAAGAAACCTGAGGATCCGAGAAATCTTGGCACAACTTGACCTCCAAGTGAAAGTGTGGGAGCCAGCTCTTACAGATGATGAGATACCAGAGCGAGCGCTCACTGTTCAGGATTCAGAGGTGTCTGAAAAATAAATCCTTCTCTTTCACCCACTCAAATACAGTTCTGTAATTCTTCTCATTTCCAGACATTGTATCAGTATTGAAAAGCCTTAAAACAGATGTGTCTGTACTTAAAATCATCTTTTTGACTCTTTTGCTTCCCTTCCCTTTTTAGGGAGAAAGCTCTTCATAAGTCAATCTGAAATTAATAAAATGTGTACAATCTTAATTTATTGCTGTTAAAAGTTTTTAATTGCCCACAAATTAGGTAGAAATTCCCCCTGTTCCTGACTATAAGATTCAAACCAGGCTTACAGGGATTACTTCCATAGATAAGGGTTTCTCTGTTTTCTCTGAGCATCATTTTGAAACTAAGTAGTTTCAAACTATCTAGGTACTAAAGCATACTTAGTACTGTACTTATAAATTCAATTCATAATTTATAAAGAAACGCCATATTTCTTATACAATATATTCCACTCATCTCATCTGCTCTTTTGGTCAGTTTTTCCCCACTTCTCTCTGCTCTCCCACCAGTCCGTGTTATTCCACTGTCAGAAAAGGTATGCACAAAACACAACTACTATCAACAAAAATGATGGTAGTTTGTATTTTAGCATTTTTAAATATAGCTTTTGGAGCTGTTCAAAAGAACAATTTTCTTCTTGAGGAATATTATCATAGAGCAGAGATATAAAAAGCATTAAGAATTAGTATTACACCATCTTTCCAAATGTTCTTAGTCCACATGTGATCACGTTTGGAGAAAAGAACCCTGATATGAACCTCATTTTCTTCCTTCAGATTAAAGTTGAAAAATACTTGACTCAAGAAGAGAGAGAGAAAGCAGAAATGCTGGCTGAGCTTGAAATAGAAAGATGTCTTGCTGCTATGGTACTTAAAGTAGTATCCTTTTTACTGAATAGGCCTTTGTCTCTGGTTAGGCTTATTTAGTTAATGCTGCACCGGAATATTCCAGTAATGTAGTATAGCAGAATAAATTTAAAATGGTGGGTAATGATGATGTGTGCCTTTTCCCTCTTCTTATCATTTACAATCAGAACTACATAGACCAGCTGGGGGAAGAAAAGATTTAGTGTTACGCTCACGATTTTTAAAAATGTGCTTAGTGGCAATTAAAAATACCATATCAGGTGACTGGGGATTAGATACATTTCTAAATGCATGCTACTGCTCAATCAGGAGCTTTGTGCTTGATACGTGTTTGTTGACTGAGCGACCTCTGTTCTTCAGGGATCAAACTAGAAGATTCTAATGCTTTCCTCTGGCTTTAAAATGCATCTGTGAAAAGCCTAAGATGGTTCTGGCCCCAAAAGAGATGCACAATAAGACAGTGACACTACAACTTCCTTCATCCTAGCCTGCCAACTGGCCAGGAGTAGTCTATGCCTATGTATTCCTTCCAAAACTGCCAGAATGGCAGTACTGACACACAGTATAATCATATGGGTGATCTAGAGGTGAACTACCCTATTATCGTTTCCAAAACTTCCAATTATTACACTTCCTTTTCTACCCTAAAATATTTTTTGTGGTCATTCCTAGGACAATGAAAGACTGCGTGCTCTTAATGACATGATGGGTGGAGTGCTAGAAGTCAAAAAGGAAGACATCTTGAAAATGGTGAGATATGTTTCTGCCCTATCATTTAGGTAGCTTGTGGGCTTTTAAGGAAATGTGAAATTCAACTAGCAAATGTTTCCAACCTAAGTGATAGAAGAAAGTTGGAAAATTGTAGAATTGCATCATGCCTAGATAGAGTACATAAGAGATCATACACTGGACTCAAAAGAAACCACAAGATTCTAGTGCCTGCATATAATTTGCCCATCAACACCTGTCCCTATCACAGTGGAATACTATAGGAACATAATCTAGTATACCATTACAACAACTGTATTGCTGGGGGAAGGGTCTATTATCCGTGGCTGTGATCTTACAGAAAAATACTGTGTTCCATTTAACTCAGCAAATATAGATAGTACAGTAGTAGAGGAAGGAAAGAATGTGAAGGAGTGTCACAGAAAAAGGATGGGGCAGACCCAAGTGCTCTCCCTGGAATTGATGTGTTTTGGAAAATCAGGACCCTTCTTAGAAGTATACATTAGCATGGAGTTAGATTTGGGGTTCTGAAACAGAAAATGTGGTATATCTTGTACCGACAGTAGTATGTTAGAGTACAAAATACTTGTATTTTACAAGATCCAGTAGTGAATTCCTGTAAGCAAGTGAGAGAGAATAGCACAATATGTATACACCAAAGCTACTGGTGTAAGTAGCAGCAGTAGACCAGTAGCAGCAGTAGACCAGAGAAACAGAATATATATGTTACTTAGACTTAAGGCTTGTACCTTACTTATGAGGAAATACCTTTCATTATGTTTGATGCATGCTATAGTTTGTTAGTGTGCTGATGGAGACTTAATATTGCTTTTGAAGCATATTTGTCTTTAATGCTTCCAGGATATTCCTCCACCTCCTTTTATATCCAAGCCTGAGCATGTTTGGAATGATGAAGAAAAGAAAATATTTAGAGAACATGAGAAAAAAGTCAAGAAGCTGAGTGAAGAAAAAGAAAAGTATAGAAGGGTAAATTAAAATAAGAAAAGGAGTGGTTTTGTTCACAGTGCTCATGACCAAAGCTTCTGATCTTTCTCAGAAGCTACTTCTAAAACTGGATACTAATAAATAGAATAAACGAAGAACAAACGAAGAACAAAGATCATGTGGCATAGTAATTAAGTCCTAGATTAGACAGTAAAATAAGGCAATCTCTATTTATACCAATAACTATGTGCCAAAACTTGTGATATCTGACAAAAGGTAACTTTCCTTCACAATTGTACCAGTATTCCTAAATTTTTTTTTTCAGCTTCCATTACCAAGGTTGCTGATGCCATACACAAATAATACAATTATATTTACCCTTCAAAGTGGTATTTGGACAACATAACTTGGTAGGCTGGCAGCACTCTCCTTCCAAATAATTTCTGGGACCTTTTGGCTGAAGTATACAGTTCCATATTGTGCATTCTCCAGCATCTGATATACTATATTAGAGCTTCTTTATTCTTCCAGATGTAATATTGTTGCTCTTGTCCTTCTCTTCCCCAGGCACTGGAAAATGAATTGAAGAAACTTGAAGCTTCCATCCAGGAAACAACACAAAATTTTGATCAGATTGTGTGCAAACTCTCTGAAAGGAAAGTGAAATTAGAGATGGTCATCTATCAGGTATCGCAGAGAACATCATTAATTTTTCATCTCTGCCTCTGTGCATTTTTTTGTTAATTTTTTATTACAATGTTTTCACAGGAAGAACTCAAAATAGTCAATCTTGTTTATGCTTTAATGTTGAATGAAGAGTTGGACACTAGAGAAGCTGGACTTCATAATTTCCTTATGAAAAAGGAGAAAGAAAAAGTAAGTTATCATTTGGAATGCTATTCTTAGGAAAAGTGTAATATTTACAATACAATTTCTTGTGAAGACTGCTCCTTCCAAATCAAAATTTTGCCATAAATGATTTTCTGACAATTTACAGGGTCACTGATTTTTTTTCAACTTGTACAGGTTACATACATTATAAATACATATATTTTTTAATAGATACTCATCTTGGTTCATCTGGAGTTCTTTGGTAAAATTCCATACATTCAGAAGGGCATGCTGCTATTTGTTTGCTATATATAATATTTTTTAGTATCCAATATCAAGCTGGAAGCAGCAATTATGATGCTTTTATGACAGAAAGATGCACAAAAGAATGTGTAATGCTATCACATTTTTCACTGAGGTGTCTAATGTAGGCCAGGGCCACGCTGACTTGTGTTTGCTGGTTCAAAGCATAGACAGAGGTGGCATGTGAGTATCTGACCATGGAAGCAGAACATACCATGGAATACAAAGTGTTTATAGTCTTATCGACCAATTGAATCTCCTGAAGAGTTTACCCATCCCTGTCAAACCATATACAAGTCAACAAAAGACTGGAGAGCACAAGTAGTAGATCTGGATTTCAATGCAAGTGCTTGCTGCCCACAGTAATAATTCTGAGTGACAGTTCTGATTCCTGTGTCCTGTCAATACCTGTGTGACTCAGGTGGTCTAAGTGGTGGTAGTCTGCAGGTTGGTTCTGGCTCTTGGGACAATATTATCCCATTTGCCCACTTTGTCTTCGTGGAGCTGTTCCTGAGTCCACAGAGAATATATTAATGCCTCCCCATGTCAGATCTCCTACTCAACCTGTACAGACCTCTGTGTTTGGAGCTGCAAACAGCCATTTGTATGGGAGCTACAGGGAGAGGTTCCAAAGTAGGCATCTAGCTCCTACCACTGGATAGGCTGAACTAGTTTTAAAATTATCTGAGGCCAAGTGTATATCAGCTTACATTTTCAAAATACATCTTTTTTTTTTTTTTAATTTTCCAAATGTTTCCGTTGATATATCTTTTTGTCCATGCAAACTGCCAAATACAACAAAACAGTCTCCCCAGCAGAGTGTAAGCATTTAATAGTCTTGATAAAACAGATGATGAGCTTAGTATCCTCACACGTAGCAGAACTGTGTCATGACACAGGGAAACCGCATTCTAAAATGAAGAACCCTCCACTGAACAGCATTTAAGAATTTTTGACTGGTCTTGAACAGCATTTGAGAGTTTTCGACTGGTGTTACCTGTGATGACATGAAAGGAAAAGGAAATCTCTATGCAAGTGAAAACAAGTATCAACACAGGTCCTTACATTCAAAGTTTAAACAGAAGACTTGTAAGCATTTGTATAAGATATTTCTTACTTTCTTAAGCAGTGGACTAGTTTAATTTCACACCTTCTCACCTTTTAGCAGTATCTACAAGTAACCCCCTGAAGAAAGCATTATATTGTTAGTAAAAATAGCTCACAAGGTTTTCTCTAGAAATAAGAAAGTTTCAGCTTCATCAGTGTATATGAATGGGCATTCAGTGCTTCTGCTGGCTGAGTTTCATTCCTGAAATCTTTTGGTTTTGCTATAGGTCAAGACTGCAAGAACAATCCAGACTACTAAAAATAAAATTGAAGCTTACATAGACACCTATGAAAATGCAAAAGCTGAAGAGAAGGTGAGACTCTCACAAACACAAGGAGATTCAGAAATTAAAAAGTGAATGCTGTGTCTTGATAATGAGAAGAACATACTTCACTGTAAGCATGGGATGAGTTCTGGTCAACTTTTTGATCACTGAAATTAAGCAGTAAAGGAGACTATGTGCATAGAAAAATTTATTAAATAGTCCAGATTCCTGTGATGCTTGGGAGCGCTTAGAAGAGCACCATATTCTGTATTTCTAAGATATGGGCAGGTTGATGCTTTTTTAAAAATAACATTGTGGTAACAAGGAAGCTTTCTGTTTTCCTCCTAGAATCTGGAATGTGGTTTTACAAAGGAGTTTGCTGACGTACCTGCCAATCTCCTTGATGAACTTTTCCAACTTTACAAACATCGACCAAAGTAACATCCCCCCAATTCCATCTGTTTAAATACTAATATTTCTTGTGTGTCAAGAATGAGAATGCTGTTTATTTCAATAGTCTAAATTATTTTGATACTCAGTACACTGCCTGCTTTTTATTGGATAGTTAACAACGGTTGATTTCCTGTCATACTAAGGATTGCTATTTTGAGTACTTACATTTCCTTATTCACCCCACACAATCTATTTTAAATGCAATCTAAATAATCATCAGTTCTCAAAAACATATATTCTTATTTTGTGTAAGATGAAGTCTTACCTATTTGCTGTTTGCAAGAGATTGAGAGTATGAAATATTCTTAGTTGTTTGTGAGCTTCTTTTATGCAAGAGAAAATAAAAAGTAAATACTGTATGTACTGTGTATGTGCACTAGGACCCCAACGAGAGACAACCAACTCCTTGACACCGCTAACCCGTATGGGGACAGTTCAGGCTCAGCTGAAGATTACAAAGGTGCACTTACCCTTTTAATGAAAGCCATGGATGAACTGGATAGTCCTGAGCACATGCCTAATGGCTTAGACGCATCTATATGGGAACATTTTTGTCTAGCTAGACGAAATAAAATGGAGAGTGAGGAGCTGGTATGTAAAATTCTTTATTTTGCCAATATACTTCTTGATATTTTCAGGTCTTAAACTTCTGCGGAGTTCAAGTGTAGGGTCAAGCTAGTGGTGAAATGACAAGGCAGCATACATAAGCTGCATTTGAGTTTGAAGGTTGCTTCTGGCCACATTAAATTCAGAATAATAGAAATGTCATCAAGGGAAACCAGCTCTAGTTCTCCTTCAGAGGAAAAATTAGCATATTAATGTGGATGGATTTGATCAGAATGATTGTGACCTTGATCTGGTTTCATTAAAAAAAAAGATAATTTTCCTTTTTTCTATCCATACCAAAAAACTATTAAGGTATTTGATTTCCATCATCTGTTGGAGTCATTCCCTCCCATTAGCATTCTACATTTGCACCAATGCATTCCCGTATTTTTCTAGAACACCAAGAGCAATTCTTAACAAAGAGTGTTGCTGGGAAGTTGTAGCAAGCTATTTGTTCAGTTTAAAAGCATGAAGGTGTAAATCTCAATTATCCAGAGACAGAGATAAATGACCTTTGACCAAGAGAGAAGGAAATGTGATTTCCTTTCATGTGAATAAACTATGCATAAATGAATAAATTATTTTCTGAGCAGAGTGTAAGGATTGTAACCTCTATGTCTCATGTGCTCTGCTGGGATTCTCAAAATACCAGGCTGCATATTTATACATACATATGTCTTCTTAAGAACTTGTCGTCTCCGTTCTTGAAAAGGCTTGCCCTGACATGCTGACAAAGTTGAAAAAGTTCAGAATGTCACAATATTGCTTGCTTAGGTGAAATGGAAAGCCCTAACACTGGCAGAGATGCAGGCCTTTCTCCAGAGACGAATGGATGACAATGAGAAGATTAAGTCAGAAATAGAAGACATTTTCCAAGAACTCACTTGGTAATTTTGTTTCTTTTCCTATGTTCAGCTACATTTTAATACTCCACCAACACAGAACCAAAAGTTACAGACAGAATTACACAGCTCTGTTCTCCAACACTCTTTTATCTAGGATTCATCTAAGAGAAATGAGGTGTTATTGCAGCACATATGAGCAGGCCAAACCAGTCTTAATCTACCATCTTAAGTAACAACATCAGTAAGGATGGCAGCATGGTCTTCAATGGAAACTGACTGCCCCAAAAGCTACATCATACAATGAATCCCCCAAAGCCTTCAAGGCCATATTTGTGCTAGCTAGCTCAGTTAAATTTTGCTCATGTAGGCCTAAGATACAGTGATCACTCCTAATTGCAATATGCTGCTCAGTCACGTGACACTTGATTTCACTGAGCTGCTTGGACCTGCAGTATTTCATTTTTTCACATACATGACGTAATTTTCACATTCATTGTCATTCAGGAACAAACCCCAGGATAAATTATACAAGAAAACGGGTGCTGGCTGGGAGTCTCCTCCATTTCCTTTTCAATGATTGTTAAGATTTCTGTTCAGTAAGAACACTTTCTCTCAGAACATCTGCTAGAGCATGTTAAACTGAATCCAGTGGTTGAAAACTTCATGTATGGTAATAAGTTGCAAATTCCGTTGTCACTTTGGGAGCAAATAGAAGACAGGCTGTCAAAGAGTAACCCCTATGTGAACATACCACTTACCAGTAATAAATATAAACATTTTGAGAATCATGAGAAGATTTATATAATCCTGTTGAAATCACTAAACATTGTTTTTGTTTTCTGCCATTTTAGGCTGCAGGAGGAGAAGATGAAACTTCAGTTGAATTTGACTGTCCAGTTTTTGCTCAGACAAGGACAGGTGGAATTGGAAAGTACTGAGATCCCAGACTACACTGATGCCATTCTCATTAATAAGAGTGTTGTTGAAGAACTGAATTGCTCTATCATGGTAATTTACATTATCTGAAGGAAATCTAAGCTTTTTAAACAAATGTATTGTCCTTCAGGGGCTCTGCTTTTTCTCCAGTTTGACATCTAGTTTCAATTCATTGCTACACACCAGTAGGCTCCACTGTAATCTAGAGGCTATTAAGAATTCTGTAATGTCTCTTATCATGATGTAAAGATTGCAATACAGACTGCTTTCTTGATGTTTGATCAATACAATTCAGATCAATGAAATGGCAACAGTTTTTAGACACGCCATTACTTACACACACTCTGTAAATAGAAAATGCTAATATCCTGGGCACCAGTCCGAAAATTCCCTCAAGGCAAACTTAGTCATGTTAAGAAGCATTTAAATAGTAGCTTACATTAAGATTTAAAAAATTAATACACTTTTTTATGTAAGGTGAATTTGGTGGTCATACTTAAAACAGTTTTTCATACTCTCATTAAATGTTCTTTTTTTAGGCATTCTATCTGTACAAAAATTGTTTGTTACTGCTACTGCACAAAGCCTTCAGTAACAACTGCAGAATACCTTATACAGAGCAAGTTCGTATTTTGTAGAGTTAAAATGCATTCACATTCTTATAAAAGATAGAAAGATGGAGAGAGAGGTTAGTTGTAATTTTCTTCATCTCCTTCTACAATCCAAGGCTGTGGCACAGAGGATAAAAGGGAACAAAATTCCACAAAAGATAACCATCTGGAGCAAAGTCTGGAAAGAGACTGCAGTCTCTTACTAAAATTACAGCTTTGGAAGCTTGCCCATCTTGTTGCAAATAATTATTCCATAATCTGTAAAGTGTGTTAATTAAGATTAATCTATTTTTTCAGGCTCAAGGAGAAAAAAAAATTGCTAGCATGGTGGAATGTAAAGACTTCTCTAAAGGGATATTTCAGCTGGAATGGGAACACAAGAAAATGAGAATGCAGATAGAAGATCTGAAACAGAAGGCTCGGGATATTGTAACACTACCCATTTCAAAAGATCGCCAGCTAGTGAGTTACTTTCTCGAATAGATATTTTGGCTGCAGAAAATTTTGCTGCCTATACCTGTAAGGTCATATATATATACCTCTTAAGTCTCTTACTACTATGGAGAAACCTGATGCCTCGTAGGTCAACAATTCAGCTTTCAAAGGGAAGTTTTACTCTTGAGATTGATCAGTGATGAAGTTCTTTGGGATGTTCAGGTGTAAACAAAGGCAAAATTAGCCCTAACTCTTAGTGTTTCAAAATTGGCATTGAGAGTAAGGAATCAGGATTTTGCAGCCACAAGGAAAAGATCTTTTAAATCAAGCACCATAACTTCCTTTTAAGTGAAAGGTCTGAGGTGCCCCCATCTAGTATCTCACAGAAATACTGTTACTTTTGCTCAGTATACAAAGGTTGAGCGTTCCTACAGGAGCCTCACTGAGCCCCACTCACTGCCATTTGTTGGCCCAGCAGCAGAACGACCAGGAATTGTTTGCCATGCCCGGCAGGCATGAGGCAGCAGCTGGCCAGCAAGTCAGCACTGACATAGCTTTGAACAAGCCCAGCTGGCAGGCCAGAAAACATAGGTAAAGGCTGTGGGAGAGAGCCAAGGATACCAGTGGGAGAAGAGAGGAGGAAAGAGAGAGGTTATAGGGGAAATCTGAGGGTATTGCAGTATGGGATGTAGAGGACTGCAGGGAAAGCTGAAGGTTTTGTGATGAGGTAGGGCGCATCAAGGTTTGGAGTAAGGGATGTTGGAGGATGATGGGTAGGCTGGAGATATTGCAGTGGGGAGAGCTGTAAAGCACAGAGAAAATGAAGAATGTTGGAGAGCAGGTAAGGATAGTGCAATTCAATCAGAAGATTAAAAGAAAATCCAAAACGCATTTTGCTCAGACTTCATTTCTTTTGCTGCTCTCCAGACTGCTTGTTCACTTCTGAATCACAGCCAAGAGACTTCCGTAACTAACACCAAAAAAACAGCTTTCCAAAGAGGTGGTGTGACAACACACTGAACAGTTCTTGTAGTAAATTTATCAGCAGAGTGTTGCCGTTAGCTCAAACTTCATTTAAACCGATGAGCAGAACTATCACCCTTCAGAGAGAGTTAGACTTGCCCATAGCAAAGGCATATACCAGTTTAATCAGAATTTGAATGCTCTGAGGGGCTTGACTTCACTTTTTGAGTAGAAATGTGGCGTTAGCAGGAAAGACAAGGCAACAATAGAAACAGAAAGATGGCTTAGATAAATGCGTGCTGGCAAGGACCTGAAAACACCTGGAATGAGGGCTATTTGTGAAGCAGTGAGTGAAAGTGGTTTGGTGCTGTAGGCAAGGAGCCTGCTGGTTCTTTCCTGTTTCTCCTCTTCTAACTAGAGCAGTCCACAAAATTTTACCTGTCACTTTGGTGGGACAGTACTCTGAAAGGATGAATCTACATCTACAGAAACCTGTCTACTGCCCACTATGGGTCATACAGCCTGTTTTACCATTTGTCATTTGGTAGAGAGATTTTTTCCTAGCAGTGTGCCCAAGAAAAAATCTTTAATAAATTCTCTGAAACCTGAATTACTATGCAGATATAAGAACAATAAAAGAAGTAAGAATTACTAGGAAGCCACCTGACAGAAAATAATCACTTTTTTCTCTGGCCTAAAGACAGACAGTATGGCACTTTGGCCTCCAGGTGTGTTAGCTTAGACTACCTTATAAGCAGAAGTATAGCTTGGGTGTTTTGACAGCCTCGCAACAAATTTGCTTGGTCTTTGTTTCCATTAACTCATAACAGATAACACTTTTTAACAGCTGTACAGTCTAGTATTCACACAGCATCCAAGAATATCTTTACCATGTCCATTTATGATCACTAGTAAGCCTTTCCACTGTGCAGAATTCCAGTTTTTTGAGTTTCACATAGTATGATTGTCTTTACAGAAGTGTGGAATTGTTGAGAATGAACAGGCTTAATAAAGTGGTTTCTTTCTGGTTTTAATTCTTCAGTTCCTAACTGTGCTGAACTACGACAGCCACATCGCCCACCGCGTTTCAGTGATGGAGCAGGCTCTCGGCATCATGGATAAGGTAAAACCTAAGTGAACCACCACGTTTGAGAGACACATCCTTAGTTTAAATGCAACTCCTCTCCTTCATTAGCAAGAGGTGTTTGTAAGGAATAACTGCAACTGATGTAGGCATACTAACTCTTCAGCTAACTCAAGGACTGTTGGAGCACAGCACACACGAATGAATATATATATCTCCATGTATTTATTCATCTGGCTTTCAATACTTCCTTCAACTTGCGCTGAGCTGTCTACAGCAGCAGTTCTCTAAAGTCTTCGGAAGCAGTCATCATACATTGATTACTGCATAGATTATGGAGAGAAATCTACTTGCTCTGTTACTGGAATTAAATGCTTTCCTTCCTGAACATCTGAATGCAGATCAGCTTATCACTTCTTACACAGCATTGCCTATAAAAGTCACTCTTCCATTTCTAATGAAGCATTCTTCCAGTCTTCACTGCTTAATGTTTCCCTCCAGGAGTGCCAGCCTGTTCATTTCCCCCCCCCTCATTCAAAATAACACAGACACAACAATCTGATTTGCTGGCTCCTTCATCTATTTCAACATTCAAATCATACTTAGCCTTGTTGTTAAGTGATTCCACTGGATTTTCTCCAGGTTCCTCTAGCTGGCATCAGACTCCTCTTCAAGCTTTAGTATTTATCTTGTCCCTTTACAGCCCATCCGACAGCTTCAGCACAACAACCCTTTCTTCAGCAGCTCGAGCAGCCAAGAGAGTGTTCTCAACTCACTGATTCCATTGACTTCCTTTCCTCCCTTTGCCTTTCAAGTTTTATCTTTAATACCTCTCTCTCCTTGACCCATACCTCTTTGGTCCTTGTCTGCTACTTATATTAGAACTCCATAAAGCATACTGGAATACAGTGTGTGGGAAAGACACTATATGAAGTAAAGCTAGAATGTGCTACTGGTCAAATCAAAATACATGAAAGTTTATTGAGCTACAATGCAGTGCTTAAGATTATAGGTTTCCATCAAAAGTTTGCCTGAACAGCTTTTGTATAAGCTCATATGTTTGCTTTATTCATTTGGAAATTGACAGCTGCACAAGAAGAATGTGAAGAACCGTCAGAAAAGAATTAAAGAGTTGGAGAGGTGCATCAGTTTAAAAGAGCGAGCAAACTACGAGCTCAGCCTGGAGCTGAAAGAAATGCTTGTCTCTGTTTCAGAAAGGAGGCATATCTTTGAGGCAGCCGGTGAGTCACAGTAATGCACTTTAAGTCACAAGCAAAAAACATTCAGAAAGTATCTCCAAGGCTAGATGGTCCTGTTCTCCATCAGCATCAGCTAAGGGGCAAGGAGCGCCTATTTATTACTGTATGTGCACAATTAGCATTGCCCTTTCTACCACAACAATGTAACATCATTTACTTAAGAGCATACCTAGAGATTGTTGCTCTTGCAACCAAAGTTAATTGACTAAATTGCTGAAACTGTTTAAGTCAAAATATTATAGTCGTTCATACCTTCATTAGACAACATGCTTTCATTCTTTCTCAGAACTGTTCGACCCACTTCTTTCCACCCGTTCAAGGGAACAGAGAAAGTAACATGAAGGGTATTCACTATTAGGAAACCTGCAGAGACCTTTCCACTAGTAAAACAGTTAGAGATCTTCAAAACAGTGGTTACTTGCTAGAAACTAAAGGAAGCATGCCCAGTGCTTTTTTTGAAATTTTTTGCTTTATTCAGTACTATAAAGACTCTTAAGCCCAACTGTGAGCCTTTTTTAAAATGCTTGCCTATTTTATACAGAACTGGAATAACCCTGGGACAAGTCCAACATAAATATAGACTATGCATCCCCTACAAGTACAGGCTAACCCTTATATCTTATTTTATGCAGACACACAGCATGTTTCCGAAAAGATTGCAAAGCAGCGTTACCGAGAGATTTTGAAGCAGAAACACCTACAGGGTCTTGTAAAGGAACAGGAAGAACAGTTTGAAATTCTTCAGGCAGAAGTTGAAAGACTGAGATCAAGAACGTTCCCTCTCCTTTAAAAACCAGAGTCCAGGTAGATGTATAGTACTATGGTCTTTTCTAAGAAAAAGAGCTTGGGCATCTACCTTTTCTCCCTGAACTTTTCTTTCCACAAACAATTTCTTCTGTAATTTCTTTAAAAAATAACTTCAGTCTGAAAGATGCATGTTTTTGTTTTGTACATTTTATACCTAGTCTTATCCCCATTTTATTTCAGGTCATGACATGTATTTCTGCTGTTTTGATTATATAAACCATATAGCTCATTACAGAAAACAAAGGGTACAAGGAAGCGTAGACTGATAGAAGAACAGGTGTATTTCTATATCCTCAGTCTGCAATATGCAATTGTAGAACATTTTGAAGGTGAAGTACTGCAAGAAATCCATGAATTTACATCTGTTAAAATTCATGTCTGTGGCTTTGGCTTCATTTTGCCTTTTAAAATATATTTACACCTGTGATGGCACAGGTGCAGGTGGCTGAAAAGATGAAGGTATGCCATGTGTGCTACTTGGCCCAGTCCTGAAAGCTGCTGCTGCTTATGATAGCATAATTACCCACAACCACCAGTAGCTGTTGCCCCCTGCCACTAGCAGAATCACAGGAAAACCAGGTTTGGAAGCATCTGGCCTCCTGAAATAGTTGCTGCTATCTCCCACCCCTTTGCATTGATATGTGGTCTATTCTCCTGCCAGGTCTCTCCAGGACAACTAAGAAAGATAAAGAACCCGCGATAAAATTAACCACTGCTGGAGGCTGATGCTGGCATTCTCACCGAGTTTTATTTCCCTCTTCCTAATTCTTCTCCTCCTTTCATAAATTCACATAAAATCTAAACTCATTCCATTGCGAGAGCATTAATAGCTTTTGATCTTGGTTTAACAAAGTTATACACTTGTAAAGAAAACTACTTCTGCTGTGATCTTGTACACCACCTCATTTTTTTGCTTTATCATCTCTAACTGGGGTCTGTAAGGATGCTAATTACATCTCCATTCTTTTTACAAGACTTTTTTTTCTGCTGAAACTTCCCTAGAAGTAACAGAGTTCCAAATTTGCCAAGGGTCTCAGGGAAGAGAACCGCCCCCTTCACCAGGCACCATCACCTTTTTCTATTAACCTAAAGAGGCAGAAGAAATAGTGTCTTAATACTCAAAATGCGATTACCAATAAAGGTTTTTCTTCCTTAGTTCTCTGTGGACAGCAACATTCAGTATTCTTAAGGGCAAGTTGTGGGTACAGATTTAAGTCTAATGTTAAAAGGGTCTGCATGATCTTTGATTTTCTTTCCCTTGAGGTATGTAAGAAGTTACTCCTTATTCAGGAAACAGGAAATGCCACCTGTAAACAAAACAGTTAAGGTACAGCCAATAAGGAATGTGATTGCATATAAAACAATATTCATAGCAGGGAGAGCTGTAGAGTAGTTAATAGTTATGTAGTTACACTTGACAAGCAGACAGAAGTCACCACGCTACATGCATAGGCCATCATGAGAAAAGAAGCAATTTCAAGTTAAGATTAAAAAAAAATTTAAAAAGACAATATTTATTGGAGGATAAATGAAATGCTGAAGTTTTATTCAGCTTTATGATGCTGTAATTTGAAGCACTCCCGTTAGACAAGGCCTTGTTTTTCTTATTTATTTGAAGAGAGAAAACACCTTGCCTCTCACATGAAGTAGTAGAATAGACAGATGTTGGTTGCAATTTTCTTGCCTTCGCTTCTGTTATCTCAGGCTGTGACAGAATGCTTAAGAGACAGCTGCCCTGAAGACAACTTTCTGGACCAGTATCTGAAAGTGATTGCATTATGGCACATTTCCCTCAGAAATAGTTAAAGCTATTGAGAACATCTCATTGCAGCTTCAGAATATTAACAACGTGAAAATTAGTTATCTTTACTTAACTCACAAAATGCTGTCATTAACTGACTGGCAGCAGGAAGACATCTGTAAAATGGGGATGTATCTATGAACAAAGAACTGAACTCTTCCCCATCTGAACATCAACAGAAGTTACAATTAATTTGAGGTCATTATTTGAAGACAAGTAACCATGCAAAGACTAATCAAAGAACAGACTGCCTTCTACCTGTTAAAGCATGACTTGATTTAATTTTATTTTTATTAAACAACTATTCACTGATCAAGTTATCGAGCCAAGTTTTCCAAAACAGCATGAGTTTGATCTTTTCCGTGAAGTAATGCCTTTTACAGTGCCTACTGTATCTAAGTACATAGCTTTACAAGTATTTCCCGAGAAAACCTCCTAGCCTCAAAGCATGAAGTCCACTGTCTGATCAACACTTATGTGATCAGAATTCATTCAGTCTTTTCTGCTTATGCCCGTGTGTAATTGAAAGCTTTGCACCCGTAGATTATGCATCTACAAAATCTTCTTCTGTTCTGCTGTAGTGTAATAACTGGTCTTCTAATCCAAAAGTATCTATCAGCTGAGTGAGACTCACTTTCTTGCCATCTGCAGAAAAGGCTGACTGTAGTTCATATAGCATCAGCTGGGTACTACTTCTCCATTTCGCTATCAAAGCCTGCAGTTCAGACAGGTTGTTCTGAAATTGGGACAAAACAAAAAAAACTGTCATTGGCTGAAATGTGGGATTTTTTAATACCCCACAGATCTATTTTTTATAAAACACCTTAAACTGAGACAATACACAAGCACCACACCAAAATAAGTGAGTAAATATTGTTGCTTAAATCAATAAATAAGGATTACACTATGAATTCTACTTCAAAGAATGGCTTAAAAGTGCTTTTTCAGAGGTTCGCCTCACCTTAGATCGGTACATCTTAACCAGTTTGAGCCTTCGAAGTAGTTCTTCCTTCTCTTGCACTTGTTTCACCAACCTTACTTTTTCTTCTAGGGACTGTTGCTGACTAAGATCAGCCTGTAGCACGTGAGAATTCTCTGCTGATCCACAGAGATCTTCTTCCTGTAGGGGACTTTTGAAACATGTATGTCCAGTGCCATTTCTTTCCAGGTTTTCAGAACCATCTTGTAATCTGGAACAATCTGTACTTGTCTTTGGCAGGGACCCTCTGTCAGCATCAGCACAGTCTTCTTCTTCAGTGTCTATTTTTAGCCGCTTTGCCACTGTAAAACTAGCATTAAATGAACGTCTTGTTTTCCTTAATCGCTCCCTCAGAGCTGCACTCAGTGGCTAAAAAAAAAAACAACAAAAAACCCCAGAAGGATCAGAATAATCTAATCTTTTGAACAAATTTCAAAGAACTGTTTACCCTGGTTATTACTTACACAGAATGTGTCATATATGTAAAGATCATTGTAAAGCCAGACTTCCTAATTCTCACTATAGCTTTCACAAACATAACAAAGTTAACTTCTTCCTTTCACATGTGTTTGCACACACAGCTGCAAGATATGGAAAGACGTACCTCCACATTTTCTAGGAGCAAATTCTGTATTCCGCTGAGGCAAACCTACTCATCTAGTCTTTGTGCAGAAGACATACGGCATATTTCAACTTGGCTGATTTTATTCCTTCATGTTCAATTTCCCCCTCTAGTTTAATGGAGATAAAGGATGGGTTTTTTTGCTGCTCCATCCCACCACACATACACTTTCTGCATTAGCACTAGTATAAAACATCTGTATTCTACTTGAGAGTATTAGAAGTGATCTGTATAATTTTGACTTGTTCATGCTTTGAGATCCTTCACTGATAAGCATCTAAAAAGTGATTCTTTTTCTTCAAAAGTTAATAATTTTTTTAATTTCTTTTTTTTTTGGATAATCTGTGTCTAATGTTTTTACCTGTGAAAATATACTAAAATATGGGAGAGAGGGATTAATTAAGGAACACTTGCAAACTAGCCCTATCCTGCATAGGTCCAGATGGTGAGCATGACAGCATCACCATAACGCGTGCTAGGGTAGACACTAAAGTAGAGCTCAGCATTATGGAGAATATAAAAACTGAAAGCAGTGTACTTTGTCAAGTGCAAGCAGGAGTCACAGAAAGTCATTCTGCATACACAGCAACCCAGAAAACTAGGATTTGAGAAAACTGAAGATGACAGATTAAAAAAACCACAAACAACAAAACCCACCACAAACCCTAAATAGTATTTAAATTTATTAGTATGGCATTTTGGGTATACTGCTCCATCGCTTTGTATTCGCAGCAAACATCTGCATATTCAGAGCAAAGTATACCAAGCACATTCCTCACCTGGACAACCTTGCAGCTATAGGTATAAGCTACCTATCTGTAGCCTTCCAGCAAACAGTATCTCAGTGACTTCCAACTACTTGATGATTTCACAGGCATTTTTGTTACTATGAAGAGTCACATTAATGGAAAAACAAGTAAGTTTTCATACCTGTTTCCCTGAACTAGTCCTCTGTGGAGCTGCTGTCCCAGAATCCTTTGGAGTATTGCACAAAGATGTCAATTTATCAAACACTGGTTCTTCCATCTCAAGATGGATAGCAGTTTCTGTTAAAAGACAATGAATTACATATGGTGCTGTTTTCACCTGATTATAATGAGCCATGTGGCTGTAGAAATGAGTGAAAAGCTCTAATAAGAAATACTAAGGCTTATTTTCTAAATGTTAAGTTCAAGAAGACATCTGCATAAGTTATACAACTGTTTCATGTGCTAAGTAGCATCTTGCTTTGTGAATGGCTTTTCTTCAAGAGGATGAATGACACTGCTAACTGGCATAAAGTATCTTACTATGAATTTTGTATATTATTTTTCCCTCACTCATAAAACTCTATGGAATTTTTTCTTAAAAAGATGAAAAATATTATAAAAAGTCTCACAGATATTCTCCATTATAATTTTTTTTTCTATCTGATATCCTCTTTCACGTGTTAAAAAGGAGCAACACAACTTATGAAGTACTTGAACCCATTACATTATGCCTATAAATCCAAGGTCAGATCCTGCAACATCGAACTCATCAAAAAAAGCTCACTCCAAACAAACTGTATCTTCTTAACCTGAATGACCCTTACTGCTTGTCTAACTCAAAGGAATAATCCTTACTAAGCCAGGTTGTGAAGAACTAGTCCTTTCATTTAACTGCATAAGTGATAAAAGGATTGTTGGGAGCCACAAGATTTTTATTGTCCACATGTATAAACAATTAATCTTTTCTATAAAACAAAATAATTGGGTACCCAGGTCTGTGAAAATAATCCACTGTCTCATTTGATCCCTCTGGGATGCTGCTTAAAAAAGTAATTACCCACACAAGTAGAATTTTAGATTAAACGTAAGCATCGCCAGATCACTCAGAAAAGCATCTTAATTAAAACAGTAAGTCATACCTCTCAGCAGGTACCACCTTCTAATTGATTTGGCAATGTTTAACTTACTTTAGCACTTGTGATCCACCTGCTAATGACCAAAATGCAGCTGGAAAATCATCAGCTATGCCTCTGTTTACCTGCAAATTGCAATTAGGAGTTTCAAAACAGAAGCCTCTTAAAAATAAAATCCTGCAAACAAGTCACTAGGCAACACAAGACTGGCACAAGGGGCTTCCTCTTCAGAGATGAAACATACCAAAGCTTCAGTATGCCAAAGCCTTACTAACCCAGCAACCCCGGTCTTCCTGGCTCTATACCAAAGGACACATCCTCATTTGTCTTACAAGTCAACATTCCCCCTAGTTGTTCAAAATTCAACACATGGTATTCTATTAAAAAAAAAAACAACCAAACAACAGACTTTAGTAAAGTCTAGTTAATTGGGTATTTTAACAATCTGTCGATTGAACAGGAAACCCACAGCACCCATTAAATATAATGCAAGTTATCACTATTATTTCTTAATGTAAGCAAGAGCCTAGAAAAACTACATCATGCCTACGTATACAGTATGTCACAAATATGTAATAAATCTTACTAAGCAGAAAAATAAATACAAGCCCAAGAGCTAGCTTCAACAGACTCATTCAACTCTTTCAAAATAAATCCTGTGACTCTCTGCCTTTACATTCTAATGCAGATTATTTGTCTTCAAATGACCCTGACTACAATGAATACTTTTTCCGGTGGTTCACTAATGCTGTTACTTTAACTCTGTTTGGCAGCACATTCACATAGACCTCCTGCACCCTTAAATCCCTCCCCAAGATCTCAGACTAAGAATCCTTTACATTTTCAAGCAGCGATGCTATTTATCACACAGAAAAATAATTCTGTTCAGCAAGTAAGGAGAATCTGGGCTAGAAGGGGAAAAGACAATTTTGCACTTCAGTACTTACTCGATTTTGCACTTTGGGTAAGTCCCTGATGTTTTCCTACCTCAGTTTTCCTGCTTAAAGCCACACTGTGTAACAACACTCACTCCTTTTACGTTCTCCTCTCACCGACCGAAGGCTCTATTAACACTCAATAACAATTTTCCCCTAGCTACTTTTCCACCCTACACAGAAGCAGAAAGAAGGCTGGGCAGCCCACGAGCAGAGCCACAGATCCGGGAAGCTTTGTCTGAGGCGATGCACCCTGGAGGGCCAAGAGGCACCCCAGAAACGGAGCACAGCAGAGACCCGCAGCGCAGTCACAGCCCAAGCCGGAGGCTGCTCACACGCCGCGGAGCGAAGGGAGGCCCCTCGCGGAGCACAAGGCCCCCAGCCCTAACGAGGCCTAGCCCGCCCCTAGGAGCCAACTGGGCCAGGACCCGGGGTGGGGGGACAAGGAAGGAGACAGCCCCGAGGGACCCTCTCCTATCCTCTCCTCTCCTCTCCTCTCCTCCTCCTCTCCTCTCCTCTCCTC